AAGAAGCGGAAGCAGCCGAGCAGCTCCGAGGAGCCCGAGAGCAAAGCGGCCAAAACCGACGGCTCCGACAACTCCGACTCCGAAATGGGTCAGGAAATTTAAAAAAATCAAAATATTGGAGTTTATCCCAAATTTTGGGACAAATCCCATCAATTCCTACTCGGAAAAAACCCAAAATCCTGGGATTTGTCCCAAATTTCAGACAATTCCCACTCGGCCAAAACCGACGGCTCCGACAACTCCGACTCCAAAATGGGTCAGGAAATTAAAAAAAAATCAAAATTCTGGAGTTTATCCCAAATTTATCCCAAATTTCACACAATTCCCACTCGGAAAAATCCCAAAATCCCGGGATTTATCCCAAATTTCAGACAATTCCCACTTGGCCAAAACCGACGGCTCCGACAACTCCGACTCCAAAATGGGTCAGGAAATTAAAAAAAAATCAAAATTCTGGAGTTTATCCCAAATTTATTCCAAATTTCACACAATTCCCACTCGGAAAAACCCCAAAATTCCAGGATTTATCCCAAATTTATCCCAGTTTCAGAGAACTGCAACTCTGAAATGGGTCAGGAAATTTTAAAAAATCAAAATATTGGAGTTTATCCCAAATTTCAGGACAAATCCCAACAATTTCTACTCAGAAAAACCCCAAAATTTGGGTTAAATCCTGGAATTTATGCCAATTTCAGACAATTCCCACTCGGCCAAAACCGACGGCTCCGACAACTCCGACTCCGAAATGGGTCAGGAAATGAAAAAAAAATTAAAATATTGGAGTTTATCCCAAATTTATCCCAAGTTTCAGACAATTCCCAATCAGAAAAACCCCGAAATCCCGGGATTTATCCCAAATTTCAGACAATTCCCACACAGAAAAACCCCAAAATCCCAGGATTTATTCCAAATTTCAGACAATTCCCACTCAGAAAAACCCCGAAATCCCGGGATTTATCCCAATTTCAGACAATTCCCACTCGGCCAAAACCGATGGCTCCGACAACTCCGACTCCAAAATGGGTCAGGAAATTAAAAAAAATCAAAATATTGGAGTTTATCCCAAGTTTTGGGACAAATCCCAACAATTCCCACTCGGAAAAACTCAAAAATTCCAGGATTTATCCAGAATTTATCCCAATTTCAGACAATTCCCACTCGGAAAAACCCCCAAATCCCGGGATTTTTCCCAAATTTTGGGAATTATCCCAACAATTGTGATTTGGAAATGGGTGAGGGAATAAAAAACCCCAAAATCCCAGGATTTTTCCCAAATTTATCCCAATTTCAGCCAATTCCCATTCCAAAAACCCCAAAATCCCAGGATTTTTCCCAAATTTTGGGACAAATCCCAATTTTTTCCCTTTTTTTTCCAGAGGAAGGCACGGAAGGAGAATCCGGAGAAAAAGAAGGATCCAGGGGGGTGAGTGA